AAACATGCTGAGGTTAATTGGTGATTGTAAATTGTCCGTAGGTGTGTCCAGGTGTCCCCTGCCTTCCCCCTGAGTCAGCTGGGATAGACTCCAGCCCCCCATAACCCTAGTGAGGATTAAGCGGTGTATAGATAATGGATGGATCTTAGTATTTAAATGGGGTTTGAGGGGTTTGTTGAACAAAAAAGAAGCATAATGAGGACATCAGTTTGGGCTCCAGGGGATTGTGGGTGACATTTTTCACTCCACTTGTCCTAGTTTTTTAATCAAGATGCTCTTCACAGCTTGTCATCTGGAACAGTGAGGTGTTTATTGGTCACGCTGTCGAGACGAACGTGTGAGTCGGTTCACAGTCTGACTGATGGGAGACAAACGTCCGGGCGAGGCCGAGGTGGGATGAGGCTGAGGTCATAGGTGGGAAGACAGAAAGGAAGCGTGTGTCCTGACTCAGCAGATGTGGAGCAAGACCTCAGGAAAAGTCTGCAAAAATATACCAGCGAGTGGAAAAGAGCTAAAACAAACGGCACACCTCTGCTGATAGAGAGATCAAAACAGTTTGGAAAATGATGATTGCATTGCGAGCGCACATCTGAGTAAACTCAGTACCGTGTGCCTTTCGTCTCAGCCTCTAACTGTGTAAAAAGCCAACACACGAACTCGCTCTTTGTTGATGAGAAAATAAAAAATAAAACCCTGGCCAGAAGGCATACTTGTCCAGGCAGTGCTTCCACCACCTGTGTGCGCTTCACACCTGAGAATACCTCATCCTGATAACCTCAGGCGAGTCATGATGACATATTGTGTTTCTCTTCACCCGCATGCCGAAGAAAAACATCCTGGTGCTCAGCATCACCCTCAGAGGATGAGGTAACTAAAGCTCAGCTGAAGAAGCCATTCAGGGTTTGATGTGGGATTTTTTTTTGTTGCTCTGTAAACAGAAAGCAGTCTGACTGTCTCGTGTGGAAGCTCCTTTTCTTGTTATTCTGCCGCACAGGATCTCTATCTGCTGCACACTCAGAGGTCAGATAAAGTGCCAAACGGATATTTTCAGCACTAATTTTCTGAGACCTTCCGCCTCGTTGAGCACGGCGGGGGCGACCTTCAGAAGTGGCTCGGTTCTGGGTTAAATGTCAGAAGAATGGAGACCCGCTCATCTCCTCTCAGTTCTCTATAACGCCTCTTAATGTGTTTCGAAAGGGAAAGAAAAGTTTGCCAGCACACATGCGTCACTTCTTTCATCTATCATTCAAGAGTATGATGTCATGTTCGAACCGCACATTCTCAGACAGACGCTGTAACCTCAGCGAACTGACTTCATGCATTTTTGTGTGAGGCTGGTTGCGTGATTAACGCCGTAGATATGTAAAGGTTGGAGAGTTGGTTTGGGTTGGTGGAGGTTGTTCGCAAACATTCCCTCTGGGCACTTTTCTGATAAATGCGCCACTTCGGGCTCGTCTAAACTCTTTTCCTTGTGTTTTACTAACAATCCCCCACCACACACACACACACACACACACACTAGGTGGCCGAGACAAGTCATCCCGAGTGTGAGTCGGCACTCGGTCTCTAAATGCTTCAATGGGACGGTGAAGTGCTGCTCCCTCTCATGATATACGTAGATGTTAGAAAGCTCTCGGGCATGTGTATAAACAAAGCAGATATGAGCTATTTGTCATCTCGGACTCCTCTGCGGGAAAAGTCTCAGCCTCCTGTTATTAATGTGACAAAGATGTTAGCATGATGTAGCTGGCCGCTCTGTAATGAGGCCGATTTGTCATTCTCTCTCATTCAGTGCCTCATCATCGGAGGAGGTCCCTGCGGCTTGCGGACCGCCATTGAACTCGCCCTGATGGGTGCCAAAGTGGTGGTGATTGAGAAGAGGGACTCGTTTGCCAGGAACAACGTGCTCCATCTTTGGCCCTACACCATTCACGACCTGCGGGGCCTTGGGGCCAAAAAGTTTTACGGAAAATTCTGCGCCGGAACCATAGACCACATCAGTGAGTGTCTGACTTTACTGAAACAAAGCAGGACACCAGCTTTTTGCTTTTTAGTGACCTGTCATCACATGTTATTAACCTCTCTACATCCTGATCTTCTCCTGCAGCAAACTGTGGTTATCGAACTCTAAAACTATGTAGTCTAAGAGTTTGGTTCCTCCAGTACATGTAAATACTTTCACAAGTTTTTAGTTTTGATTTCAGATTTACGTTAATATTTTGCTTTTACTGTATCTATTTGTTGTAAGATTTGGCTGTTGTATAGTGTATTGTCTCTTTAGAATTAATTCCAT